TCTTTTGTTGTGAGGTGGGTCTCTTGTAAACAACATATAGATGAGTCATGCTTTCTCATCCAATCAGTTACTCTGTGTCTTTTTATAGGAGCATTCAATCCATTTACATTTAAGGTCATTATTGATATGTACTTATTTATTGCCATTTTTGTTTCTATTGTGTGGTTCTATTTTTCTTCCCATTTCTCCTGCTAATTACAGCAGTCCTTTTAACATTTCTTGCAGTGTTGGTTTGGTGCTAATGTATTCATTTTGCTTTTTTTTTTTTTTTTTTTTTTTTGTCTGGGAAGCTCTTTATTTGACCTTCTATTTTGAATGATAGCCTTGATGGGTAGAGTAGTCTTGGATTCAGATCCTTGTTTGTCATGATCTTGATTACTTCATGCCATTCCCTTCTGGCCTGTAGTGTTACTTGTGAGAAGTCAGCTGAGAGCCTTATGGGGTTTCCTTTGTAGGTAACCTGTTGCTTATCTCTTGCTGCTTTTAGGATTCTCTCTTTGTCTTTTATTTTTGTCACTTTGATTACTATGCATCTTGGTGCGGGCTTGTTTGGGTTCTTCTTACTTGGGGCTCTCTGTGCTTCTTGAACTTGCATGCCTTCTTCCTTCACCAAATTAGGGAAGTTTTCAGTTGCTATTTTTTTAATATATTCTCTTTCCTTGCTCATTTTCATCTTCTTCGGGGACTCCTATGATGCGAATATTATTGCGTTTTCAGTTGTCCCCCAGGTTTCTTAAGCTGTCTTTCTGTTTTTTAATCGTTTTCTTGCTTTTGGTTTTCTGATTGGTTGATTTTTTTCTACCCTGTCTTCTAATTCACTGATCCAGTCCTCAGCTTCCTCTACTCTGCTTTTTAATCCTTGCAATGTGTTTTTCATTTCTGATGTCATTTTTTATCTCTTCTTGATGGTTTTTAATTTCCAATTGGCTTATTTTCAGTGTCTCTATCTCCTTACTCATGCTGTTGAGCTTCCTCAAGATAATGGCTCTGAATTCTAGCTCTGTTAACATGCCTAATTGATCTCATCTTCGGTGGAGGTCTCTTGCTCTTTCATTTGGCTTCTGTTTCTGTGTTTTACCATTTTGGCTATCACTGTGGGCTTTGGAGCCTGGCAAGTATTCCCTGTGGGTGTTGGTGTTCTGCTCTTTGTGGCTCCCTCTCCTGTGTTTAGATGAGCGAGGAAGGACCCACGTTAAACACCACTGTCAAGTCTTACTTTCCTGGTTAAAGTTCCTAGCCCAGGAAAGGTACTGTTATCCTCTAGCTTTTTGCCTGAAGGCTAGCAGTCGAGGTTACTTGATGACTTTTAGGTTGTCAGTTGATTGAAAAACTCCCTCAGGTGCTCAGCTTAAGGGGATTTCACGAGGGTGGGGCAGGTGCTGGTTGTTAATGAGCTTCAATTAGCACTTCAATGGCACACAGGGTGGAGTTATATCTCCAAGGGAGGGCTGCTGCCTCTCCCCAGAGCCCTGGGAAGGAGCAGTATGGCCACCGTCCAGCGTGGTAGCAACTCAGCAAAAGCTCTGAGTGCCCTCCAAATCCCGAATGTCCCTACACTGTTCCAGTCCAGTCTGCCCTCCCTGTGCCAGAGCCCAAGGTGAGTGGCTGTGGCTGTTTTAGCCTCTGTCCCAGCTCTGCACTGTGGAGCCGCTTGGGAGTGTAACCTGAGGGCGCTGCTCTCAGCTAAGGCCACTGCCGAGCTGCTGACCGTGGGCTCCCAGCCCCCATCTTGCGCCTTCGCAATCCTACCAGGATCGAGTCAGTGTCCCTGGTTATATGCTCCTCGCAAGCTGCTTTTCTGTTGGTTTTTCCCATTGATTTTTCTGTGTTATAGTTGTAATTCCAGTTTGGTCCTGGGAGACGGTCTGTGTAGCTTCCATTCACTCCTCCGCCGTTTTGGAATCCTCTGTAGTGAGTCTTGATTGCTATTGGCCCATTTTTGGTTATGGTTGATCCTCTGGCTGTTTACTATATGAATCAACTTTGACCACAGTATATGAGCTGCTGTTCCAGGGTTGATCCATGAAGTGGAACTCATCCCAGTAGGGTGTTGTGCCTTACAAATCTCCCTTTGGTAGTGCTGCTTGTGAAGCTAATTGGATCATGCTCCAAAGTAGTCTGAAACCTACCATCAGGTGTGTTGGTTCTAGGGTCTCTTGGGAGGGCCTCTGGTGCAAGTTAATGTCAAATGCTGCCTGTAGCAGGCCCTGGGCTACCTGTTTAGAGCTACAAAGTGATCCATAGTTTGTGGCTGTCTCTGCTGGGCCTGGATGTGCATGAGAGAGGCCAAGCTATGCACTCACACTGGCTTCAACCAGCCCTGAGCCTGGGGGCAGGTCAGCAAAAGCCCCAAGACACCCCCACATCTGCCTTTGCCTGCCAGCTCCCTATTAGGTTCTGTTACTGAAAAAGCCTCTGGAGGTACACAAGTTGCATCAGTTAGGTTCTCAGTGAGTCACCAGGTAGTGGTGAGTAGTGTTCACCAGACTGATACAGATTCAACCTTGGTGCCAATGCTGGGTCTGAGTCCACTCAGCAAAAATCCCAGAGTACACCAATGCCAGCTGCCACCTGTCTGGTGCCTGATGACCTTTGTGGTGGGACAAGGTCTCAGGGAGTAATCAGGATAAGGTCAGAAGAGTTCATTAGATTCTAACAGACCAATATTTGGCTGTGTGAAGGGACAGCTTTGCACAGGAACAGTGGCACCAGTTAGGTGTGTGAGGGAAAAACAGCTCCCTCCCTAAAACTGCACAATTCACTCTCTCCTTGATGCTAATTGGACCTTTTCAAGAATCTTTCTAAAAAGTCTGCATCCTGGGCTTTAACTAGCTCTAGCCAGCTGACACCACTGCAGGGTGTAAGCTCAGCAGAACAAGATGACCAAGAGTTGGGAGGATGGAGCTATTGCATTTCCTTAATCTAATGCCTATTGAGGGAGTAGTCAACTCAGGAAAAATGAAGTCTGTGGCAGTGTGTGAGAGGAGCTCAGTATTGGGACCATAGTGGTTATCTCTTCAGTTCTCTCCCCAGAGCCACACAACCCCATTCTCTCCTTGCTTGACTCCACTCAACTCCAAGCTACGCTCCTTTTGTTGGAGCCCAGGGTAACTGGCTGCAAACAAGATTTTGTGTGTTTGCCCTGTAAGCCAGCACCTAGGTTTCTAGCAGACTCTGGTCTCTACTTGGCAGACATAATCTCCAATGATTTTTACAGCCAGTTCTGGTGCTCTTGGCTTGGGAACCTGGTGTGGGCTCAGGGGGTATCTTTGAAGCTGAGATATCCCTATGGATTAACAACCACCACACTTGTATATGGGGCCAGCCCTTTTTGCATCTCTGCCCCTTTTACAAGTCTTGATTTGGCTTCTTCTATAAATCCTTGTTTATGAGACCTAGTCTTCAGGTTGATTGTTCTATAATTTATTTATAATTCCAGTTTGGTCTTGGGAGGAGGTAAGTTTAATTTACATCTACTCTACTTCCAGCTTGTATCCCTGATAAATTTACAAATGATAAAATTTATTATTTCCTTAATAAAAGACTCAAAATGTGTAAAGTAAAAATAGAAAAAAGAAAAAGACAAATTCATAATCTTAGTGGGATGTTTTAACACAGCTCTCTCAGTAACTGACAGAACCAACCCACAAAAAATCAGTGAATATATAGAAGAGAATAACATGACCTAATTAATACATATAGAATACTACACCCAACAATTACAAAATAACATCCTTTACAAGCATACATAAGCCATTTTCAAATGTTGACTTTTATATGCCAATGCTGGACACTTTTACATATATTATCTCCTATAATCATAACACAATTGTGAAATAGACAGCTGGATTAGAATTCTCTCATTTACTCCTCCAGACTCACCCTGTCCTTTCTCTTTCATGCTCTCTGTCTTGTGAAGCTAACCTGTATGGATTGCATTCACGGCTCTTTTCCCCTCTGGCTTCTGGGTAGGTTCAGCCAGTTGGAGCCAAGGGCAGAAATTGTTGAGTGAAAAGAAAGATAAAGTCAGTTTATTTATTCTCTCTGCCCCCTCCCTGCAGGGCTGCCGAGTATGGCTGCATCTATCTTCTTCCTAAATATGCTTCTGCCAGGCAGCACTCTCCAGATAGCTGCCCTCTATAAGTTCTAGTACCCATTCTTCCACTGCTGCCTTTCATGTGGTAATGGCCCTTACTGTTCTCAGTCCTGGGGTGCTGTGCCATCCCTTGGGGGTCTTTCTAAACTATGCTCCCACCTTCCCAACTGTCCCTTTGCTACACTCTTCAAATTACCAGGTTTAAGTGTGCCATGTTTTCTGCAAGCTCCCTGGCTGTGTATTAGCATCTCTGCCTGCATTTTAAAAAACATAAGCTCAGGGAGGTCAATGACTCCCACAGGTCACATGAGTCTTTTCACAGGTGTAGAAATAAAACAGTTTCATCCATTTCCCACATCATTAATAAATCATTAATATAACACTGGAACATCCTTTCAATTTTAGATAATAGTATGCCCTCTCAATCAGTATGTCTTGAATAAATTTTGAATGTCAGTTTTAATATGGTCTTTCTTTGTTTATTAAATGTCAGGAAAACTCTGTCTTCTATTTAAAGTAACTTGATTCAGTTTTGTTAATTTTTGGTCTTTTAAAGAAAGTTATTTAGCCCTGGCCGGTTTGGCTCAGCGGTTAGAGCGTCGGCCTGCGGTCCGGAGAGACCCAGGTTCCGTTCCCGCTAAGGGCATGTACTTTGGTTGCAGTTTGTCCCCGGCCCTGGTTGGTCATGCGGGTGGCAGCCACTCGATGTGTCCCTTTCACGTCGATGTTTCTCTCTTTCTCTTCCCCTCTCTCCCTCCCACTGTATCTGTACAAAAAAATGGAAAAATGTCCTCTGGTGAGGATAAAAAAAAAAGAAAGAAAGAAAGTTATTTAATGCAGTGATTGTGACCTCTGAACTTAATACCCCTTTAATATTTTGTCATTCTACTTTGCTGTTTTTCAGATCGCCATGAGGTTATCTCCAAAGAAATATTGGAGTTGGACCCATGGAAAAATCAGTGGAATGTTGTAGCAGTCAATGTCCTCATGCATGACAGCTATGATGTCTGCCTGGTGGCCAGGATGAATCCTCGAGACCTCATCCCCCCACCTTCAGATTTAGTGGAAGAAGGCAAGGAGCACTGAGGTCAACATTGCTATAGAAACTTCTATTGTGTCTGCAAAGAAGGAGTTAGGATTGGAGAGAGATCATGGGCATCCATACATGTGCTTTGCATGCATAGTGGTCCATATTCAAAGCAGCATGTGCTGGGCACTATGAAGGGGAGTCTGCAGAATCCACCCTCAGGGACTTCCACTTGGTTAGGGTGGACAGGACACTACAAGACCGAATAAGATGATGTCACAAGAGGGGTACAGAGTGAGTGCCACAGGAGTGCAAGATATGGAGGAATCTCACACTGCTGGAGACTCAAGAAGCAGGCCTTCTATCAGGGCCTCGGAGGGTGAGAAGGAAGCAGTCCCATGTGTGCAATTGATGGTGAGATCATGGTAACAGCTGAGTGAAGACCAGAGGTGGGCCAGGTTGCCTGGACCACTGCCTTTGCTACAAAAGCTAGAAAGGTAGGTTGTATCTAAATAACTAACATTTGGAAGACCAAGGACTTTGGCCCTAATCTCTGAGCAGGGGAATGATCTCAAAATATTGGTGTAAAGGAAGACTTATCTTTGTACTCTGTTCTGGCTTCAATCATATAAAAACTGTCTATTCTCATGCAGAATATTTTTTTGCTACAGAAACATTATCCAAAATAGGGCTTGCAGTAGACAAGTTCATAAGAGCTTAGGCACTCAAGCCCAACTACAGTGAGCAGAGGAATTCTGCCCTGGGCCAGATCTGTGTCAGCGAAGGAGATAGAGGGTTCTGTAGCCATGGTCCTCTCTTAGGCTGACACAGAGGGTCCTGAATTGGACTTACCCAAGCTGCCCTTGACTAGTTCTCAGACACACACACCTTCCACAGGCTGGCCCTGGCTGAACATAACTCACCTATACCAACCATCACAAACACAGACCAGGCTGTGGATTAAAGAGAGGAAGCACACCCCTTTGATGGCCTGCTGCCCTCTTGGACTCAGCCTTTGCAATATCTTCCCCAAGGTTGAAGGGGGAGGATGGAACTTGCTGTTTCAGCCCATAGTTGAGCATAATCAGAAAACAACCACTCATAGCCACCTAGGAGATATTACTTACCATCTATACTTCTGGAAGCACAGTGGATTTAAAGAATGCATTTTGGTAGCTAATCTTCAACAACTTCTCAAGAGTTTCACCTTACACAAGGCTCTCTATTAAGTAGGAGTGGTCAGTAAATTCCTTAGAACTTTACCAGACAGAGACATTCTTAGATTGAGACAGCTCTTCTCTGGCATATAATTGTACGACTGTGGTGACCTCTACTCCATGTCCTCAGGTTCTAGCTGTTAACCCAGGCAGGATAGATGGGTCCATGGAAATAAGCTAGTTGAAAACCTGCTTCTGCCACCATGAAGGGAATCCCAGTTAGACCCAAGGTAGGTTGTCCCCTAGCAGGCTAGACAGGGCAGGAGCCATGTCTCTCTCTGCAGTTGTACCCAAGTGCCCTCTATATTACCTGGCACATATGGGTCTTTGGGTGGCAAGCACAGAGTAACATTTCTCAATCTGAGGGATTGGTTTCTGAGCATGTACAGAAATCTGAGTTAAATGAGTTAATTCTCCCTGGTGGAGGGTCTTCCAATCTGTGAATTCTTTTCCTTGCTGCAAAGGCAGAACATTTCTTCCCAATGGGCTGTACTGGCTGGGGGTGTCCATGGCTGAGGAGAGCCACCACAGGTGTCTGCTTACCTGACCTCCTCTTAATGAAACCTCTGTACCTGCTCCACCTATTTAAACATAGAAGCTGTCACATTTCCCTGGATCAAGGAGGTCTTGCTAGTGTGTAATGACACATTTCTAGATGCATTGGGTTTCAGATATAGGCTTTAGTATCAACTCTGCTATTTAGCTAGCTGTGTGATATGGGGCAAGATAACCTTTCTAAAGCCTTATTTTCCTCTTATACAGAATGGGAAGGAAAATGCTTTATAGAGTTGGTGTGAGGATTGAGTGAGAAAGCGCTGAGCAAAGTGCCTATAAAATACTAAAACAGTAAATATTTATTAGCTATCATTATTATTATTATCATTACTATTGCACTCAAGATTTCCCAAAGCATAGTGCCCAGAACAACCCAGTGCTTGAGTGCAGTCTCTTGAGATTCTAGGGAGAGATGTGCACATGGTTTGAGATAGTTCTTAATTCCCTAGACCCAGCCTTTTGGCTCCTCTAGTTGACGTGCTGAAACAAGCAATCATTTGCTTTAGTATTTTCGTAAGCCTTGGTGCTTCTTGTCTGACTTTTATATTTATAATACAAAACTAGATACTTCTGCTCTCCTGTTGTTATATATTTGTGGATATATAGCTTTGAAACATTTTCCTATCAATCCTTTTTACACTTTAATTGACCACTGTCCAAATATCACATGGTGGACTTTATAAAACTTTGACTGTTTGCTAGTTCTTCTCTTTGTGAAGCAGGATTGTTTGACACTGAGCAATGGAACACAAAAGGGAAGTGCTTTTGATGCTGAGGCTGATAGAAGACTGCAGCTGTCAAACATGCCCAGGTTCAGTTTGTGTTATTAAAGAAAGCATCATTGTTTTCACTGATTGACTTTATAATGAACAAATGCTTTGAATTTGAACATATAAAATAAAACTTTACTAATAAAAGATCACTTTTACCTTGTGTTTCATATTGCAATTCCATGTTAGTTTCATTTGAAGAAGGGTTCCTATGCGCAGGAACTGCTGAGCATCACCAGAGTGCGGGTATGACCAGCCAAAAGATCAAGAGTAAGGCCCAGAGGCCCGAATGTATGAGGGAGATGAGAGGCAGGAGGTGGTTCCATTTTCAGGGTGGTTGAAGCACAGGAGGATGACAGGAAAAGGAGATGAGGCCAATCACAGAAGCCCTCAGATGCCACACCAAGGAGTTGGCCTTTATGCCTCAGCAACATAGCTTTAAGCAAGGAAGCCGTTTAAGAACATCCTTCCACAGCCCTGTGTAGATAAGTAGGGTGAGAGCAGACAGGGGCAGATATGCAGGAGGTCTTGTAGGAGCTCAGGTAACAGAAGCTAACTTAGTCCAGTAGCAGCGGGAACCATGAGAGTCCAGTGCAGTCAGAAATGGAGGTTGTCAACAGCTTACTGGCCAATTCTGAGCACTTTTTCTAAGCTAGATGCTATGCTGGGCCGTGATGCAAGGTGAGGCTCTCAACAAGTTCATGTTCTAGAGAGAGAAGAAATGTGCAAATACAGAGACATGACATCTTATAAGAGATTAGAATCTAAACCCACATCAGGCAGAAATGCAGTATAATTATCCCTGCATTTGTTTCCTGTTGCTGCCAAACAAATTATTACACATCAAGTAGCTTAATTACTACATTTATTATTTTATCCTTCTATAATTCAGCAGTGCAGGGCTACATTCCTTTTGAGGCTCTGGGGAAGAATCTATGTTCTTTCCTTTCTCAGTCTTGGAAGGCCGATGGCATTTCTTAACTTGTGGCCACTTCCTCCATCTTCAAAGTCAACAATTGTATTGCCCTGCATAGTTCCTATTGTCATATCTCCTTCTCTGACTCCCTCTCCTACTTTTAAGGAGATTGTTATTACACTGGTCCCACCCAGATAGTTGGGATATTCTTCCCATCTTAAGGTAGGCTGATTAGCAACCTAATTCTAGTATGCCATAAAATGTCATATAGTTGTCCCTCAGTATTGACAGTAATTGATTCCAGGACCTCCCCTATACCAAACTCTGCCAATGCTCAAGTCCCTTATATAAAGTGGATAGCGTCTGGCTGGTGTGGCTCAGTGATTGAGCATTGACCCATCACCAGTTTGATTCCCGGTCAGGGCACATGCCCAGGTTGTGGGCCCAATCTCCAGTGAGGAGCATGCAGGAAGTGGCCAATTGATGTTCTCTCTCCTCATTGTTTCTATCTCTCTCTCCCTCTCCCTTCCTCTCTTTCTATAATCAATAAAGGAAAAAAATGTTTCAATGGATAGTATCTGCATATAACTTATGGACATCCTCTCATTTACTTTGAAATCATCTACAGATTACTTACATTACCTAATACAATGTAAATGCTGTGTAAATAGTTGTTATACTGTTTTATTTAGGGAATAATGACAAGAAAAAAGTCTATACCTATTCATTTCAGACACAACCATCATGGGCATAACTGCACAGTATTTATCAGTAACATTTTTTTTCCTGAATATTGATCTGCAGTTGGTTGACTCCATGGATGTGGAACCTGCAGATATGGAGGATTGACTGTGTATTACAGGTTCCATGGATTAGGATGTACATTTGGATAAAACCATTATTCTTCCTACCACATCATCTAATGTCTAAGACTACCCATGAAGTTCATCTGTGCACAGCCTGTACAGAACTTCACATAGACACCAAAGTTTGGACGCCACCAAAGATAACAGTGGCAAGTGTAAATGCAGGTGCATAGACGGTGACAATTGTAGTCTCAGAGACCTCTGTGACATCTCTGGAGGGGACAGTGAGAAGGAAAGTCCCCTGCCTGTGGGGTTACTTCCGTTCTCCTTTAACATGAAGCCTTGCATACATTCTGTTAGAGTCCAAGAAGTGTAGCAATAACTAAACACGAGTTATCGCATAAGTGAAATAGTTCTCTGGTATAAGCAAAGTGACCCAAAGGACGCAGGAGGGAGGCCGTGGCTCTAGGGAGTCTTGGTAAGTCTCCTCTCACAAGCAAGTAAGTGAACAGTGGCTTGGGTTTTCCAGATGAACAAGAAAGAGTAAAGGCAATCCAGGTACAAAGCAGCCTGTACTAAGGCCCTGGCATAGAAAAGGCCTGCTGTGTGCAGGTGTGGAGAGAAGCTTTGTGCAGGCAATATGAGAGCAGGTAACTGGAACAGAGGACTGAGCCAGGAGGGGTGGGCCCTGGGTGCAAACTCATGGAAGTAAGCATGGGATTTTATAAAGTTCATGTTGGTGGCCACATCTCAGAGTGAACAGGAATAGGTAACATGATAAGAGACTGTTGGCAGAGTCCAGGTGGAGGCTAAGTGGGACAAAGGAACAAAGATAATTAATTATAGCCAAGCCAATGCTGGAGTGGAGTGGAGTGGAAATGAGTTAGGACCTCGACTCCCTTCTGCCTAACTGTGTGGACTGGACGGGGCATTTTACTGCTGCATCTGCATTTGCTCACCTGTACCACCTCCCTGTGGCATAAAGGTGAAGTGAAATCATCCACTGGAGCTCCTGCACAGCATCAAGTACAAAGAAGTGTTCAGAAGCATTATATCCTATGGCTATTAGGCAGAAGGTGAGGGGAATCATGATGGCCCCAGCCTTTTGCCTGGTAGCTTCCCACTGTGTCTGAGACCTTCTTTCCCCATACCCCCAGGTGATTAAGGTGGGCTCCCTGAGGACCCACAGCTGCCTCTTTATTTCCCAGGGTCACTACATTAGGAATTTTTTGTTCTTTTGAAAGATGGGGGGCCAGGACCAGACTAAAATTTCTCACTTTACAAAAGCAAAACCATAGGAGGAAAAAACTCAGAAATCATTCTATGCTTTTCTTAGCTTATTAAAAAGCAAAAGTGATCATCCTCCTTTCTGCCATGTTTCTTGTTCATGTGCACCAAGAGTTCCCCTTGCACCCTGGAGCAATATACTTGTTCAGTAATCAAACCCCAGAGGAATAGAAGAACTTTGGGGAGAACCACCTAAAATCAAGCTGAATGGAAGTCCTACAACTACGAAATTAAGGAAAAGGCCACATCAAGACTAGTAGGAGGGGCAGAGCTGAGGAAGGGCTGGTCACACACCCACGTGTGGAGGATAAAAATCAGGACAGATATCTCAGCTGTGAAGGTCCTCCCTGAGGAGCAAGAGGTCCCCATCTCATACCAGGCCCTCCCAGCTCAGGATTCCAGTGCCTGAAAGAGACCTCCCCACAACTTCTGGCTCAAAGGATCAAAGCTGAAGGAGGCCCAGGCAGCTCCTATTAAAGGGCTCATGCATGGACTTACTCAGACTCACTCCCTCTGGGCTCTAGCATAGGCAAGGCAGCTTGAAAGGCACCAGAGACATATGGGGACGAGCTGAGTTGGTTGGCATTGGGGTGAGAGCTGGAGAGACAGCTTTCTCCTGGACAGATGTGTTGGCAGAGGCTGTCGTTCCTTTGGTGAGCCCTTCCCCACAAGGCTGGCAGACAGGCACCATATCTAGGATTCCAGCAATCTGACTCACTGTTTGTCCCACTCTGGTGATTCCCTGAAGCCCTGCCTCATCCAACTTTTGGACCCACCCAAGCTCTTTCCAGTGGCTTTACCATAGGAATGGCCTGTCTTGGCTCATGCTTTGATTTTCCTAAAATTTCTCAAACAGGTAGCATCTGACCTCAGCAAGCCCCATACCTCTTGCTATGTGGCCCCAAGCTTTGCACTAACAGCAGCTTGGCCTTGGTTAACACCTTGGCCTCTCCAAGGCACCTTCAAGCCCAGCATAAGAAGCAGCCATCTGCAGACACTTTGTAGCTTATGCCTGATGACCCCAGGTAGAAGACAGGCAGTGGTTGATTAAGGCCTGAGCCTCCCAGGAGGCACCCAGATCCAGCACACCCAGTGGACAGCTTCAGATCATGTCAAACACCACCACCCAACCACCTTCACAAGAAGCACACTCAAGGAGTGGATTCAGTGGGTACCAAAGCCCTTCTGAAGTAAATCTTGCTCTGTGTGGTGGGCCCCTGCACAGCTGATCCTCTAAGGTGGTCATAGGTTGGTGGACAGTAGGCACTGCCAGTCCTTTCAGCTGATCAGCCTGAGTAAATCCCTCCCATTGATGTGCCAACAGCAATCAAGACTCAATTACAACAGAAAGGTGTACAGTCAACACGGGGGAGCGCACCTCAAGTGCCCACCTGGGATAATCAGGAAGGCTGCATCATTGGACCCTACAGAACACCTACTACAATAAGCAATTCTAGCAAGCCTAGAAGATGTAGCAACTTTACCTAATACATAGAAACAAACACAGGGAGGCAGCCAAAATGAGGACACAAAGAAACATGTCCCAGATGAAAGAACAGAACAAAACTCCAGGAAAAGAACTAAACAAAATGAAGATAAGCAATCTAACAAGTAAACAGAGTTCAAAACACTGGTTATAAAGATGCTCAAGGAACTTAGTAAGGGATCTCAAGAGCATAATAAAGTACCAGTCAGAAATGAAGGATGAACTAACTGAAATAATAATTTACAGAATATCAGAAGTAGAGTAGGTGTGGCTGAGAATCAAACCATTGATTTTGAATATAAGGAAGTAAAAAACACCCAACCAGAAAAGCAAAAAGAAAACAAATGAGGATAGTATAAGGAGTTTCTGGGACAACTTCAAGCATAGCAACATTCGCATCATGGGGATTCTGGAAGGAGAAGAGAGAGAGCAAGAAATTGAAAACTTACTTAAAAAAATAATGATAGAAAATTCCCCTAACTTGGTGAAAGAAACAGACATACAAATCCAGGAAGCACAGAGAGTCCCAAACAAAATG